GTGTTTGTTTCCAGCGTTCTCTGTCATCACTGGAGGTGTAGAACAAACTCATGTGACCCCTCTGCTTTCCTCCGTCAGGTCACAGGGCGGTGTACGTTGGCGTGCACGTTCCGCTGGGCCGCCAGAGCCGGAGAAGACACCGTCACCGCGGACATCGACATCACAGGAAGCGAAGAGAGCGCTCGGATCGGGAGGACGGGCGAGAGTCGCCGTCATACGGTCAGGTTTGAACGAGGATAAACAAACACGGGCCAGCTGTACGACGGCGGCGTGCTGAAGCGTTTGTGTCCCCGCAGACACGCCGTCTCAGAGGGTCCAGTTCATCCTCGGCACCGAGGACGACGACGAGGAGCACATCCCCCACGACCTGTTCACCGAGCTGGACGAGCTCGCCTTCAAAGACGGAGACATGCAGGAGTGGAAGGAGACGGCCAGGCAGGGCGCGCTTTCGCTTTCTCTGCTCTGCGTTCAGACGTTAATCTGCGGCGTTTTCCAACAACGCTGCAGAGCTGTGAGGAGTAATCCTCCTGCTGTGCACGGGCGAGGCCTTGTTTGTTCAGGTTAACGAGGTTTCCTCTCTGATCCCGACTCTGCAGAGCGCCGTGAGGAAGACGAGCCTCGCTGGATTTGAGAGGAAGCCGATGAAGGCGGGCCGAGTCGTGTGGTTTGGAAACCTGCAGATTAACGTGTTTACTCAGCAGAGCAGAGTGGATCAGCCCACATTAGTTAGCATTATAGCATTAGCACGAACGCCTGGCGTTCTTCAAATGTCAACACTCGGCTGTGTGTGTGTTCGCTCAGGTGGCTGAAGTTTGAGGAGGACGTTGAGGACGGCGGCGAGCGCTGGAGCAAACCCTACGTGGCGACGCTGTCGCTGCACAGCCTGTTCGAGCTGCGCTCCTGCATCCTGAACGGCACCGTGCTGCTCGACATGAGAGCCAGCTCCATCGAGGAGATCGCAGGTCAGAGCGCCATCGGGAACTCGTCCCATCACTTGATACGCTGCTCCAAAAACGGCCTCCGTGTTTAAATCTAGAGGTCGAAGCGTGCTAAAACCACATTTGAGCTTTGAATCTAGTTTGGATCAGCTGCTGGAGAAGAAGAACGCCATGATGAAAGCGCAGGCTTCCAGGCATCAGCCAATCGCTAGAGAGTTGGTATTTAGGGCGAGTTCTGACGTCTTGTTTCAGAGAGAAGAGGAAGTGAAAGGCTGCGTCACGCCTTTCACTTCCTCCTCACAACATAAACCTGCAGTGCGTTTGTGTCCATCAGCTGACCTCTTGTCTCCTTCCTCGCAGACATGGTGATTGACAGCATGCTGGCGTCCGGTCAGCTGGAGGATGGCGCGCAGGAGAAGGTGAGGGAGGCCATGCTGAGGCGCCACCACCATCAGAATGAGAAGAAGCTGAGCAACCGCATCCCGCTGGTCCGATCCTTTGCCGACATAGGCAAGAAATACTCGGAGCCAAATTTACTGGAACGCAACGGTGAGACGGCAGCGCTCTTGTCATCCTCGCGTCTGCAGGTCAGGAGACGAGCTGCAGGAGGCCAGTTCAGGTTGACCCCTGCTGACCTCTGGCACTGCTCGGCCTCTGCAGGGTTTAGTTAAAAACCAAGGGAGGGGAATAAATGACCTCAGCGGGTTGGCTACACGCTGCAAACCAGCGTGGCGGTAGGTTTACGATTTCTTTACTAAGAGTTCAAAGTTTTTTGTTTCTGTTGTCGGGCAGAATGCAGAGTCTGTCCGTCCTGATTGGTCGAGGTAAAGGGGTGACAAGACGACGGGTCTCATATTGCTGCACGGTCCCGTTGCCGTGGTTTTTGAGTGATTGTGATGAGTGTTATGGCTCCGGTTTGGTTTCTCCCCCGCCCGTCCCTGAGCTGCTGTGACCCCCTGTGACCTCAGCCTGTTTATTATTGGCCGGGACTCCCTGACCTGGCTGGACCCGCCGACTCGCTGAGCTAATAACCAGCTAACAGCATGAGGAGTCGGCGTTTTAATATCCGCACTCCTGGATCCTGTTTGTGAGAGAGGAATGTTTTAATGCTGCTCGGGCTGAACGCCGTCTGCAGGCGCTGAGCCGTCTGGCGTGCGTGTGACCTGCTTCTGCGTGACCATCAGCTGCAGCTTTTACCGTTTGCTCGCGCTCGTTCGCTCAGGAGCTTTTCTACAGTTTATAAAGCTGAAGACGTCACAGAGCAGAGCTCAGGGTCAGACTTTGATTACAGCTGTACTTCACGAGGTCGTCGCCTCCAACACGGCGCCCCCGGCTCAGTTTGGGGTGACTGCTCTCTGCACCAGCAGGACCTCTGCTCTCCACCACAGTGGGCTGAGTGGGTGGTGCCCAGTTACAGCAGCTCTTCCTGCCTGTGATGGAGTAAACATTCAGTAATTTGTGTTCACTGCAGACGGTAGTTAGAGCGAGGGTGGCGCTCCTGGTGCCTTTACCTGAACAAAGACTGTAACTAAAAGACAGAAAGTGATGCAGTAAAGCGTTTGCTTTTCAAACAGGTGAAAGAGGTTCATCCTAGTTCGGTGACTGTCCCTCGGGTCCGGAGGCAGCCGGACGACTTCTGTGTCCTTGAAGATGCAACTGACACGATGGGAGGGGGAGGCAGCGACGCACAAATGTCCTACCGCCCTCAAAGTGACCACCCCTGTACAGGTGCGACACCTGAGACGCCCTCAGATGGAGGCGAAACATCTTCAAGAACCCAGAAGTCGTCCGGCTGCCCCCCGCTCGAGCACAGCCGAGAACCGGCACGGACGCTCTGCATGAAGCTGCTGCGGCTCGTTAAGGACTGAGCTGACTGCTGTTGTGGTTTGGTGCTGTATGAATATATATATATATGTGTGGAGTCGGAGCTCGTGATTGGTGGAGGAAGGTTTAGCTTTAGAAAGCTGATGTTGGCGTGCCGTCACTAACTCACTGATCCGTGCACGCTGGCTTGGTGTTTCCTGCAGCATCGTTCTTCATCATCACGATCTTTCTCCTCCTCTTCCTCCTCAGGGGAGGGCCTGTCCTCCTCTCGTCTCTCTCTCCTCCGTCGTTGCTCCATGGGCTCCTTCGACCTCTCCACCCTACCCCCCTCTGCGAGGACCCCAGGCCCGTTCGGGCACCTCCTCCCCGGCTCCGCCTCCTCGTCGCAGACCGACCTCTCTCTGTATCGTTACGGCCGTCACCTCTCCGAACCCAGCCAGCCTCACGGACTCGCCCTTCCCGTCCCCGGTGGCTCTCCACGCCGCTCCTCTGCTCCCGTGGGGCTCCCCACGGTGGTGGTGCACCCCCCAGAAGAGGAGGAGGAGGAGGGGTTCCACCTGGGAGATGAAGACGACGTGGTTCCCCGAACAGGCAAATACGGCACGGCTTTCCTCCGGCGTGTTTCCACGCTCTGACACTGAAGCATGCCCGCTAACGTGCTGATGATGCTGGAGGCAGATGATTGGATGGATGTTGGCAGACGGGTAGCTTATTTGGGAGCGGAGTTATTTTGCATGTTTTTGGTTTGTTTTGCTGACGTCCGTCTGTTGGAGACTGAGCTGCGTGAGTGTTGGAGCTGCAGTGTCGTAACACCCGCCTGAGCCTGGGTTTGAGCTACACGTGTTCACATCAAGTTTTTCTGTTAACAAACGTTTTTAACAGGTGAAGGTTGATCGGCAGCGTCCTCTGGATCCTCGATCTCCTTTAGCCTCTGCTGGAGTTCACAAACCAGCTTCTGGTAACACGTGAAGAGCCTCGGATGTTGTTTTCAGCCAATCAGAAAAGAATCAGGCGGCAGGCCGCGGCTGCTGTTAGCAGCAGTGACTTTGAGTCTGGATGTTTGTTTCCTGTTTGTTTCCCTCGCTCTGAGAGGCGGCTCGGCTCTGATCTGAGTCGATTTCTCTCCTTCATGAAACATTAAAGATCTGTAAATCAGGACGTCTGAACTTTTGTGGTCTTACTACACAAAAAAACAAAACCCACCAAAAACGACATTTTTTCCTTGTATTGTAAACTTTTTGTTCACCGTCTGTGTCGCCGTCAGAAGCGCGATCACATGAAAGTTTATTGCTATAGCACATCTTAAAGACCATCGTTCATCAGTTCGATCTTAGTGCTCTCCTG